GTGTGGAGAGTTGACAAAAATGAGAGTAGAAACAGGGAATCCAGTTCGAAGGCTCCCGCGTTGACCCAAGGGAGAATTGACAAACACTTGGCATAAAGTGGAAGGGGTGGAGGTGGAGGTGCAAAGCATTCAGGATGTTTTGGGGGTAGAAATGGATGGGATTTGCTGATCATGGACTGCAATTGGGGATGAGAGGGAAATAAGTCTCAAGGAAACTGTGTATATGTATTTTTTGCGTTGAAAAATTGGTGGGTAGATGGTGGTACTTCTTCTTAGGTGGGAAAATGGCAGAAGATGGGCAGGAGCTGGTTTGGAGAGAAGTTTTAAAATAATAGTAAAGCTCACATTTACCAAGTTTTTCCTGTGTGCCTGGCTTGCTTTACATCAGGGAATTCTCAATCTCCACACTGTTGATATTTGAGATGAAATAATTTTTTGTTGTGGAGTTGTCCTGTACATTGTGGGATGTTAAGCAATATCTCCGGTCCCCTACCCACTAGACACCATCAGTGTGCATGCAAGTATACATGCATGAGTGTACACACACACAGAGAGAGGGAGTTGGACAACCAAAAATGTCTCCAGACACTGCCAAATGGCCCCTGGGGGACATCATTCCTGGTGAGGACACTGTTCTATGTGGATTTTCTTCTGTAATCCTCACAACCACTCTATAAGGTCCATCCTGATAGTATCCCCATTTCACAGATGAGGAAACTGAGGCCCAGAATACTTAACTTATCCAAAGTCATGAGTCTTTATTTTTGGCCAGGTTGGGCTTGAGTGCCCACTGACCATTGCTATGGTATAAATGTGTCTCTCCGAAATTCGTGTTGGAACCTAAGACCCAATTAAGAGACGGGACCTTTGGGATGGGATTAGTGTCTTTACAAAAGGGCTTGAGGGAGTTGATTTGCCCCTTCCAACTCTTCTGCCTTGTGAGGACACAGCAAGAAAGCACCATCTTGGAAGCAGAGAGCAGTCCTCACCAGACACTGAATCTTCTGGCACCCAGATCTTGGACTGCTCGGCCTCCAGAACTGTGAGAGACAAGGTTCTGTTCTTTACACATTACCCAGTCTCGGGTGTTTTTGCTAAAGCAGCACAAACGCACTAAGACAACCTTTCGTGGAGAGAGCTCCAACAGGCAGGTGTGTGCATGCCACCGAGGGCGGGGGAGTGTCAGGGTGAAGAGGGAATCTGCGATTGGGAGTCCCTGGTGCCTGGATGGGACTTTCACTGTGGAATTGAATGAGATCACATAAGGAGAATATACCATCCCCTCTCTTCTTTTGAAAAACTTCATTTCTCCTGTTATCTCTGCTTTCTCCTGCATTACCGGTTTCTCTCTTTTCCGAATCATTCTCATAAGCAAACACAGTGTCACTGCTGCTTGGTGTCACCTCCCCCTCCAGTGCCTGCCCCATTTCCCCACTCTCTTTCATAGCAAAATTCCTTAAAGAGTTGCTACAGTCTGTCTCTTCAAAATGTCACCTCTCATTCTCCCCTCCACCCACTCTAACAAAGCGTTCATCCCAGCACTCAACTAAGACTATAACCTCCAGGCCACCAAATCCAATGGTCACTCCTCTGTCCCCATCTTACTGGCCCTCTTGGCAGCTTTGGACACAGTTGACCTCCCTTCTTCTTGAAGCATCTTCTTTCCTTGGCTTCCATGACACCACACTGTCTTGGCTCCTCCTCTAAGTGTTGAAGAGGCCCAGGGTCTGGCCCTAGCCCCCTTCACTTCCCTATTTATGTGAAAGAAAAAATACAGATGGCCAGTACACGTTAAAAATTGTGCTCAGCCCCAGTTATAACCAAAGAAATGCCCACTAAGACAAATGAGATCTATTTTCAATCTAACATAATAGCAAAGATTCAAAAGATTAATTATACTCAGTATTGGCATAGAAGTAGAGAAACAAACACTCTGATTTGCCATTGGTGAGAAGATAAGTAGTATCATCTTTTCTTAGAAGGCTTTTTTCTCAATATTGATCAAGAGACATATAAAATAGAATGATCAATCCTATACTTTGTTCTAAACTTTTCTATTGACATAATTTCAGACTTACAGAAAAACTGCAACAATAATACAAAGAATTCCCAGATACCCTACCCTTCATCCACCTATATTCCCCAAATATTATCTTACTACACTAGTGTTCTCCCTCTCCCTCTGTCCCTCTTTCTCTCTCTCTCCCCCCAAACACACACATATGTATGTATATATGTGTGTGTATATACACATATGGATACATGTACATATATGCATGTGTATATATGTATATATGTATATACATGTGTATATATGTGTGTATATATGTGTATATATAATAGTTTTATATTTATATACGACATATGTATATATTTTTCTGAACCACTTAGTGGTAAATTGCAGGCATGGTATTCTTTACCGTAAGTACTTGAGCTTGTATTTCTTAAAAGTATGGAATTATCTTAGGTAACCAAAGTACAAGAATCAAAGTCAGGAATTAACATTGATGCAATACTACTATCTAATCCACAGATCTCATCGGGATCTCACCAGTTGTCAACACGGTGCCCATTTTAGTAAAAGTAAGTCCAATATCATGTGTTGCTTCCAATCGTGTCTCTGTGGTTTCTTTTAGTGTGGAACAGTTCCTCGGTTGTTTGTTTTGTGACTTTGTCATTTTTGGAATCCAGGCGAGATATTTTATAGAATGTACCAGGGTTTGAGTTAGGTAGATTCATTCTGGCATAAACACTTTTGTCTCTCTCTTCCCTCTGCCTGGAATATTGGTTTCTTGGCTTTTCAAACTGCTTTTGTCTCCTCCTCCTTTGAGTCTCCCTTCAAATATCACCCCTTCCAAAGAGCCTTTTTACTAAATAGAATTATAATCAATTCTCAGAAAAAAAAAAAAATTGGCCAAATGATCAAGAAATGTGATGTTTTACACCAGGCGTCAGCAACTACTGTGCAGGAACTAAGAATGGTTTTTACATTTTTTTAATGGTTGGAGGAAAAAAAAAAAACTGAAAGAAGAAAGTTTTGTGACATTTTCATGAAAATTAAATGAAATTCAGTTTCAGTGTCCACAGATAAAGTTTTATTGGGACACAGCCCGTTTGCTACATTTATCCGGGCTGCTTTCCTGCTACAATGGCGGGGCTCAGTAGTAGCCACTGAGAGTCATTGCTCTCATCTCTTTGTGTGGCTGCTCAGCACACTACGAACCACATGCCACAGCTCCAAGTCAACAGCATGCACATCGCTGTGGGGCAGCATTTTATTTTTTTATTACTGGTGCATACACATCATGTCAAAACAAGAAGAGTGGACTTCCAGTGTTGTACTTTTTAAAAATACATGATAATCATGTGGCAAAATACACGCAACATAAAATTTACCATCTTCACTATTTTTAACTAGATAGCTCAGCAGCGTTCAGTACATTCACGTTATTGTGCAACCATCACCACCGTCTGTCTCCAGAACTCTTTTCATTTTGAAAAACTGAAACCCTGTACCCATTAAACAAGAACTCCCCATTCTCCCCTCTCCTCCAGCCCCTGGCAACTACCATTCCATTGTCAAAAAATAAAATAACATTTCAATGAATTGAGCTTACTCACTGGCTTTTATTATTGATTCATTAATTGGGCAGCATCCCATCGATGAAATAGAAAAAAGCACCCCAATGAGCAGAGGGCGTTGGCTTTGGGGGCACAAAATGGCAGAAGGGGAACAGAAACAAGGAACAAAAAGCAGGCTGGGCATTTCAAAGTTACTTTCCTTGTAGGATGAAAGCAGAGGGGACTTCCTTATCATATTAGCTCAGGTTGACTGGGACCTTCTTTGTTGGTTGCTATAAATCTGTTTTTGTTTGTTTGTTTGTATGTTTGTTTTGGAAAGCTGACTGTTTTAAAGGTCAGTTTGATTACGTGGCACCTAGCATGAGTGTCTCGGTCCTGGGGTCCAGTGCAGGAGCTTAGTCCAAAAAAATGGCCTCCAGTAAATTTTATTTCACCCTACTTTCTGTCTCTATGATTTTGACTAGTCTAGGTACCTCATAGAAGTAGAATTCTACGATATCTCTCCTTTGGTGACTGGCTTATTTCATTGAGCATGATGTCCTCAAGGTCCATCTACATCGCAGCGTGTGTCAGAATTTCCTTCCTTTTCTTTTCTTTTCTTTTTTTTTTTTTTTTTGAGATAGAGTCTTGCTGTGTGCCCCAGGCTGGAGTGCAATGGCACAATCTTGACTCACTGCAACCTCCGCCTGCCGGGTTCATATGATTCTCGTGCCTCAGCCTCCCAAGTAGCTGGGATTACAGGCGTGTGACACCACATTCAGCTAATTTGCTGTTTTTTGTTTTGTTTTGTTTTGTTTTTAGTAGAGATGGGGTTTCACCATGTTGGCCAGGCTGGTCTCAAACTCCTGGCCTCATGTGATCTGCCCGCCTCAGCCTCCCAAAGTGTTGGGACTACAGCCATGAGCCACTGCTCCCATCTATTCCTTCCTTTTTAAGGCTGAATAATATTCTATGTATGTATATACCACATTTTGTTTATCTATTTATCCATCAATGGTGGAGCATCACATTTTTAAAGCCCAGTGAAGTGTGCATTATTTTGTTATCCAATTAGACAGCAAAACATTGTGCTTATTAGGCAATGATACTGTATCTGTGCTAAAAGGTTATAATACATGTCTCGCTCCACAATGTCTAAAATATTTACTCTCTGGCTGTTTATAGAAAAAGTTGGCCAACCCAGTTTTTGTCTTGCCCTGGCTTCACAGCAGTTACGAAACTGAACCTCAAGTTCCACTTCGTTGCATGCCAATGTTGGCATGGCCCCATTTCAAATACCAACTCAAATGTTCAACCTTTTATCGGCAACTTCGTGTGGGCTTCCCTGCAAATGCACTTGACTGTTTCCTCCCAACTTTGCCCGTTCAAACCTGACTCAGAACCACCCCTAACCCCCATCTCCACCCACAAGCCAGGTCTGTTGCTATGGTTTGAGTATTTGTCTCTTCAAAACTCATGTTGAAATTTAATCCCCAATGTGGCTGTACTAGGAGGTGGGGCCCTTACAAGGTGACTGGGTCATGAGGGTTCTGCCCTTAAGAATGGGTTAATCCAGTCATGGATTAGTGAATTAATGGGTTAATAGATTAACCCATTAATTGATCCATTAAGCGATCATGGGAGAGGAACTGGCAGCTTTATAAGAAAAGGAAGAGAGGGCTGTGCTAGCGTGTGAGCACTCAGCTTCTTCACCAGCTGATGATGTCCTGCACCACACTGGGGCTCTGCAGAGAGTCGCCAGCAGCAAGAAGGATCTCACCAGATGCAGCTCCTTGACATGGACGTCTCAGCCTCCATAACTGTAAGAAATAAATTCCTTTCTTTGTAAATTATCCAGTTTCAGATATTCTGTTATAAGCAACAGAAAATAGACTAAGACACCTGTCCTTTCTTGCCCAAACAGTCATTCTGTAAATACTTCCTGATGCCTCTTCTGTACCCAGCCCTTGGGAAGTTGACATGAGAGGCAAGGTGATACTTATGCACCCAGACCTGTCCCCCTGCCTTCCCCACCCACATACTCAGCACCTTCCTGAAATTAATCATAGAATCTTCAAATTACATGATCTGAGGTGCTCAGGCTCTGCAGCATGTGTGAATTATACAAGCTCTGAACTTTTAAGTTCTCTTAAGTTTTTTTTTCTTTTTCTTTTTTTTCTTTTAATTTTTTAATTTTTAATTTTTATTTTTTTGAGATAGAGTCTCATGGCTCTGTTGCCCAGGCTGAAGTGCAGTGACATGATCTTGGCTCACTGCAACCTCCACATCCCGGGTTCAAATGATTCTCGTGCCTCAACCTCCCGAGTAGCTGGGACTACAGTCATGTGCCACCATGCTCGGCTAATTTTTGTATTTTCAGTAGAGATGGGTTTTCACCATGTTGGCCAGGCTGGTCTGGAACTCCTGGCCTCAAGTGATCTGCCTGCCTCGGCCTCCCAAAGTGCTGGGATTACAGGCATAAGCCACCGCATCTGGCTCTCCTAAGCTTTTTAGTACAAGTTTAGAATGGAAGAAATGCAGGAACTTAGGCCCTAAAAATGTTAGAATTAGGGAATCTTAGGGTGCTAAATTGTTAAAATATAAAAACCATTAAAATGGTGGAGTTGTTTAACCAGAATGTGTTAAGCCTGCAGATTCTTAGAACTATGGAATATCAGAGTGTCCTGGGCGGAGGGATCGTCTAGAAGCCAGGAACACACATCCTATCTGAGGCACAAATCCCTCCCGACCCCCAGCAGCCTTCCTCTCCCTGCCTGATTGCCATCCAAGGGTCTCATCGCTCAGGCACGCTCTGAGCTTCCTAGCTGCTGAGACCTTGTCCTCTGGCTGCTGGCTGCTGCCCAAGGTGCTTCACAGTCCAGCCCTATTTTCCTTCCACCCTCTCCATCCAATCCTTGAAGATACCGGAAGCCAGTCCTATCTTCCTGCCTTGCTCCCATGGTCTCCTCTGCCCAGCTTGCCCTTCCCTTCTCTCCTCACCTCCCCACGTCTCCCTGTTAAGAGGCTAGCCCTTTGTCAAGGGTCTCCACAAACGTCACCTGCACAAGGATGTGCTCCTGTGTTCCTGAGTGGCGGTTCACAGCCCTCCTTTATCCTCATGCCTACAGATCACCTCATGTCCGCAAACTCCTTCAAGTCTCAGAGCCTCAGTCTCAGCACCTGTCAAATGAGGAGAAGAAAAGCATGCCCCTCAAAGGGTTGTTGTGGGAATGAAATTCTGTAACACAGAAAATACTCAGCCCAGAACCTGACACAGGAGAGGAGCTCAGCCAACATGAGCTAAAGACCTCAGGAGGCATGCTGTCTCCAGAGCCCTGGCTGGTTACACCAGATCAGGGCCTCCATGGGCAAATGCAGAACCAACTGAATGAGCTGTTGAGCCTGAGCCCAGGAAGAAGGGAAGTGCGCACCTGGCAGGGAGGTGCCCATCCAGGATGACTCCCTGAAAGAGGATAGATTGCTTCTGCCAGGAACTATTTAGATGATGGCAGAAGATGAGGGTGAGATGTGGTGTGGGATCACCACGTGATTTCACCCCAGCACTGGAGTAAGAGACACATGGTGTTGGGCGGAGTAAATCATCAAGCCAGTGTCAATCATCAAGCCCATTGCGGAGTAAGAGCTTTGTCCTGAAAGTCAAGGAAAGAAAACAAGGAAAAGAACCACGCATTTGTTGAGCACTTACTGTTTGCCTAGTGCTATGCTAAACACTTGATGGGTTCTGGTTTGGTTCACACCAAAGCTAGCATCAGGAGTGAAAGTATAACAGAAGAGCCAGTTCGAATCCCATTAAGAGCTGGGTTTGAATCCCAGCTCTACCTTGTGCTGGCTGTGTGACCTTGGGTAGGTCGCTTCCCCTCTCTGAGCCTCAGTGTCCTCATCTGTAACATAGGGTAGCAAAGGAAAAGACTTTTCCTTCTACCCTCCTAGGTTGTTGATTGGAGCTCCTGTAACAGGAAAAAACAGATTAACAAGGAGAAAGCATATAAATGTATTTAATATAAATTTTACATGACACAGGAGCCTTCATAAGGAAATGAAGACCCACAGAAGCGGTTGTAGCTAAGCACTTTGTTGCTGAGTTGGATGAAGGGCAGGGAGTCATGGGAAAATGTGAAGGACAGAAGGATCTGAGCTAAGGGCAGTAAACTGGGAACACCCAGCAGGGCGGCTTGTTGGATTCCCTGTCCCTCTGTCTTCGGAGATGAAGATGCTCCTTTCCTCCAGGTACAGGGAGGGCACCTCTCACGTGAAGGTCTTGTGATCTGCTTCAGGGAAAGTTCCAAGAGTCCTTCCTGTGACTGCCAGTTCTCAAATTCTTTCCGTTTCAAATATTCAATATCCAAGGTACCATATTTTGGGGTAGCACATTCTGAATCCTCTCAACAGGGATAATAATATTAGGCTAAACCAAGTAAATTTGTCAACATTTAACTCTTTTGACCTATAATAATGGCAATTTCACACAGATCTGCCCTGGAAAGTTTTGGGGAGAATTACATGAATTAATCCATCTAATCACCTTAGCTCGGTGTCTGGCACATAATAAGTGCTCCATAGGCAGTAACTCTTCTTATTTATTTGTAGTCCTCGTCCTCACGTAATAGATTTTAAAAACTGATGCTCAGAGAGGTTAGGTAACTTGTGCAAGGCCAGCCAGCTGGCAGGCGGCAGAGCAAGGATTCAAACCCAGATGCGACTGGGTGCGGTGGTTCACGCCTGTAATCCCAACACTTTGGGAGGCCAAGGTGGGTGGATCACTTGAGGTCAGGAGTTCTTGACCAGACTGGCCAACATAGTGAAACCCTGTCTCTACTAAAAAAAATACAAAAATTAGCTAGGCATGAAGGTGAACATCTGTAATCCCAGAGGAGGCAGAAGAATCACTTGAATCTAGGAGGCGGAGGTTGCAGTGAGCCAAGATCACACCACTGCACTCCAGCCTGGGCAACAGAGTGAGACCACATCTCAAAAAAAGAAAAAAAAAAGTGCAAGCCCAGTGCCCCAATCTCCTTTCTGGAGGGGAGCTTCATCTCTGCAGGGCAAGCAGGGAACAGTCTGTGCAGCTCAGGCCCACCTTCCCCTACCAGATCCTGAGGGCCGGGGCTCATGTTACCCCATTTCCATGAACCACTGGCTGGGTCCCCCTTCCCCACCAGATCCCTTGCTTCAGGGCCCTGACCCACAGCCACCTGAGTGGCATGTGACAATGGTGAGTGCTGGGTTGCCCTGGGAGAGGATAGAGGGGTCACTCTGAAGATCCCCGCAGGCAGTAGAAGGATGACAGGAGATTGGGGTCAGAGTCAGAGCCGGCTACACGCTTTTCTACAGACTTAGCTTCCTTCCCAGGCACAAAGAACGTGACTCTGCCTGTGCGTGGGAGACTGAGAGAGTGAGCACATGTGCGTGTGTGTGTATGTGTGCCTATGCACACTAGGTGTGTGGGTGTACGCACCTGTGTGAGGATGAGTGGATGCGGGGGCACCGGGCGGAGAAGAGGGAGGTATGCATGCATAGGCGTGCCTGTGTGTGCACGAGGACGTTGATGGGGATGCACCCCTCTCGTGTATGTTTCATGCGTGTGTTGGTGTTGTATGTGGAGAGTATGGGGCTACAGCTGGCAGCTTAGTGGAACATCTGGAGCACAGATTCTGGAGCGCAAAGCCTAGTCTGCACCCTGGCTCTGCAGCTTGCTAGTGAAGGGGGCCAGCCACCCTAAAACAGGCCTCTTTGGCACATGGATTATTTTGAGCTAAAGGCCATTGAGAACCAGCCACCACAGGAAAAGCTGCTTACCTCCTCCTAACTGCCTAAAAATAGAGTGCAGACAATCCCCAACTTACCGTGGTCCAATCTGGGGTTTTTCGGCCGTGTGGTGGTGCATTCAGTATGTTCCTGGACTTTGGGTTAACTCAGAATAAACCCATTGTAAATGGAAAATATTGTAAGTCGAAAAGGCACCATCATAAGTCATGGAGCAGCTGCACAAATAGACCCTTCTGTAAGGGAAATTTCCGTTTGTAAAGATGTCTCATACCGGGAAGAGAGCTGCTCCTGGGGAGCCCTGCTCTCACCTGAGGTTTTTCTGCAGAACAAGGTGACTCTTATTTACCTACATCTCCTCCTGACCCCTTCCCAGAACAGCCCTCCCCAGCCCAGAAACTCAAAACCCCTTTTCCTTTGTTGACATTTAAACCCCAGTCCCACACACCCCTTTGGTTACTGATCGCTGGATGCTCTCATGTGTATGCACAATGCGCTTATTAATGAACGTCTGTTTGTTTTTTGCTTGTTCATCTGTCTTTTTCAAGTCTCCCCATGGGGCCCCAGCCAGAAAGCCGAAGGTGGGTGGAGGAAAAGGATCATCCCCCCGCCGATGCTGCAGGGGGGGCATGCTCTCCTCGAGGGGTGCTAGCCACCCCAAAATATGTCTCTTTGGCACATAGACTATTTTGAGCTAAAGGCCATTGAGAACCAGCCATTGAGAACAAGGTGCAGGAGAAAGGCCACAAACAGTGTCAAGGAGGCCACCAGGAGCTCACACTTCCTAGAGCTCAACAGGCTTGAGGCAGGACACGCTGTGTGTGGGAACTGTGTGGGGGTGGGTGGGAGGCGGGGGAGGATGGAGGAAGAGATTGTGTGTGCATGGGGGAGGTGCACGGGTGTCCAAGTGTGTGCACGGGTGTTCTGTGAATAGGTGTAGACGGCTGTGTGTGTGTATGTGCATGCAGGTGGGGGTGCACAGGTGTGTGGCTGTGCATAGAGGTGTTCTGTGAGTAGATGTAGGAGTGTGTGTGTGCGTGTGCATGTGTGTGTGCACGTGGGTGCATGATGTGTTGGTGTGTGCACAGCTGTGTGGGTAGATAAGAGTGCGTGTGGGGGGTGCTCACATGTGTGTGTGCACAGGTGTGTGGGTAGGTAGGGGTGTGTGTGTATATGGTGAGAGAGTGTGTGTGTACATGTGGGGGGTACAGAGGTGTGTGCATGTGCACAGGTGTGTGGGTAGGTAAGAGTGTGTGCATATGTGTGTGTGCAGGTGAGGGATGCACAGGTGTGTGGGCGTGTGTGCACAGGTGTTGTGTAGGTAGCCCCTAAGGGGTGTGTGTGTGCATGTGGGGGTGCACAGGTGTGTGGGTAGGTAAGGGTGTGTGTGTGTACATGTAGCGGGTGCACAGGTGTGTGGGTGTGTGTGCACAGGTGTGTGGGTAGGTAAGGGGGTGTGTGCATGTGAGGGATGCACAGGTGTATGGGGGTGTGTGCACAGGTGTGTGGGTAGGTAAGGGGGTGTGTGCATGTGAGGGATGCACAGGTGTGTGGGGGTGTGTGCACAGGTGTTATGTGGGTTGCCCCTAAGGGGTGTGTGTGTGCGCGTGTGTGTGTGCATGGGGGGGGTGCACAGTTGTGTGGGTGTGTGTGCACAGGTGTGTGGGTAGGTAAGGGCATGTGTGTGTGCATGTGCAGGTGCCCAGGTGTGTGGGTGTGTGTGCACAGGTGTGTGGGTAGGTAAGGGTGTGTGTGTGTGTGCACACGCGTGCATGCATGCATGTATCTGGACCAGGTGAGACTGTCACATCTGTGCACATCTGTGCACACACAGTCAGCTCCATCAAGGCTGAGGTTGAGGCTGTGACCCCTCACGGGGCCCCTAGGAATCCAGGCCTTGCTGCCATTCCTCAGCTGCAGGCCAGGCATCCACCCCAAGCCCTGGCTGGGGAGCAAGGTGAGAAAAAAGAGAAATTTTGTATCTGAGGAATGTGAGCCCTTTTAAACGATCAGGCCCAGAGAGGCATTGAAATGTGACAGCAGCCATGTCTCTCTCCTGCCGTGAGCTAAATAATGACCTCTTGAAGCCACTTGCTATGTGGACTGACTGACACCAGGTAGCCACAAAATGCCATCTGGACACCATACCTCATACCCTATCATTCAACAATGCACAGCCAATCACGGCTCAGGGTCATCTCTGCAACCCAGTGAGAATGCTTGTCAAACAACTGTGTATCCGCTTCAAAAACCTGCTTGTAACGAAGGCTGGACGGAGCACTCCCCAAGGCACCTTAGAAGTGTGTCCTGGGCTGCTGTCCTCAACTTTGGCCCAAATAAACTCTCTATCTTAATTTTTGCCTCAGTTTCTTTATTTCAGTCAACAAAAGGTGACTCCATGCAGCTCAGCCCCACGGGAGACCCCAGGGCCCCTGCTCGGAGTCTGTGAGAGCCTGTGAGGGCAGGAGGTCGCCCTCCTGATCCCAAGGGAAGACACATTTCTGCAGCCCACCTGTGTGACCTTTGTGTCCTCTCCTGGACCTCCGGAAGCCATGCCCTGAGTGGGCACTGGGATTCCACAGGGCTCGGGACGCACTCCACCTGGCTGTGGGGCCGTCTCGACCTCAGGATGGTGGGGCAGACAGTGTGTCAGGGCTCAGAGGCACCACAGAGCCTTCCCGGCCAGGGTCCCCACCGGTCCCAGCCACACACTGTAAGACACAGGAAAAACCAACTCAACAGGTGACAGATCGACTGTTTAAAAGCATATAACACCCCTTTTTCCTCTCTCCCGCTGTGTGTCTCTCCCCTTGGCGCCGCCTGCGTGCCGCCCGCGGGCGGCCGGCCGCTGCCGCCTCCCATCGTCCCCCGCCACTCTGCCCGCCATGATCGCGCGCGCGAGCTTTCTCTTCGCCGCTCCAGCTCATTCCGGACGTTCTCTGCAGCGGCGCTCCGGCGGCTGCGCTCGCGGCCACGCCTCGCTTTCTAGTCGCCCCCCGCTTGATCCTATTCTGGATTCTGTTCAAAGACTTTAATCCTGTTTGGCCGCCAGACACTCGCCTACCCGGTACTTTCATCTGAACCCTCCTTCATCTGGTTTCCTGGGGACAGTTCTAGGTTATATGGGAAACAGTGATCACAAGCTTAGAGCAGCTAGGACTCAGCCTAA